AGTCTCTCAGTTGAGCAGAAAAAGAACTACTGTTTAAAGAAACTGAGTACCTGCTTCCCAACTGCTGGACATTATTTATATATAATTTTTTAATATATATATACACACACAGAGCATCTGAACACTGACATTTACTATTCATAAGGTAGAATTGAGAGTTTCTTAATTTTGTTCTACTCAATTTTTCTGAGCGACCCCATCACAGAGGTATGCAAACCAGGATAATTTTCTTTATTTCAAAATAAATTGATAAAATCCAAGCATATGAGCATTCTCCTTTGCCTGAGAAAAGGGGAAGAGCTGTTTTTTCCAGACCTTGAGAAACCCTCCATGGGAAGATTAGGTCTTTTGGCAGCAGTCCCAGCTAGGCACACCCCCCCAACTGCTTCTACCTGCCTCCAAATAGCTTGTCTGAAGAGTGCTGAGATGAACCAAGTCAGGGGGCCGATCATCAGTTTAAAAAAAAACAGCTGAGACTGGGACACAACGGGTGAGGAGAGAAACGTAGGAGAAACAGCTACAGCCTCTGGCCAGGCAATAAATGAATTTAAGATCAAAGAGATGCCAGAGAAGCGTTATGCGGAGAAGAGACAGTGGCCACCGGCCACCATGTCTGCCAGGTCCTTCTCAACAAACCTAGGGGTGGAGTAAGCTCTCTCCTCTTTGCATATTCATCGCTTTCCCTAAGCTGTAGTAGAACAAAACTGACTCAATTCTCCAGTTTCACAACAGCTCACAGAGCTTCCAGTAGATTATGTGAAAATTTAACAATTTTCATTCTTTTGTAGTTTGGGAAAGTACAAGAGACCGTGGAATTGCTTGTAAAATTGTTTATGAAAGCTGCTTTTACGGAGGGGCTAAACACTTTTTAAGATGAAAGCGAGGTGTCGCAGAGGTTTATTCTCTTGCTCTTGGAGAAAACTCGCTACAAGCACAGCCAAGAGGGACAGGAGAAGCACAAGCAAGAGAACTATTTCTAAACTGCCCTATATCCTACTGGAGATGTGGTAATGTGTTAGCAACAGACAGGGAGAACTTGATTTGGTTTCAACCACAACCCTTTTATGTAGCTGAAGGGAAGGTACAGAGTCAAGCTGAGCCATCAGAACAAAGATTCTGAGACTATATGGACTACAGGACGATGATCATATGATGCTGGGCTCCCCCTTAGGTCCCATCAGCAAAGTACTCTGAGTGGTTTTAGCTATTATTTATATTGAAGCAAATGCACAAAGAATGGCTCAAGAACACCATGTGATCACCAACACAGTCTACAGTTAAAATTTGTGAAGTGCTGTATTACGTCACAGCTTGGTTTCAAACTGACCCAGGAGAAGCAACAAGAAAAAGGTTAGTTTGCATTCAAATTACCTTCCCCAACTGAAGCTGTTGTGGGGCTACATAAACGTAGCTTTTGGTGACCGTACTGGCTTGGCACGCTCACAGAGCGGCAGAGCCAGGGCGCTTACCAGACGCTGTGTGAAAGTTCTGTTTTCTCATCTCAATTTAGACTTCATTCACAATTAAGAAAAGACGACCAATCCTGGATCCTATTCTTTCCGAAGCATTTCCTTCAAAAGTCTTTAAAAATACCAGTTGTTAATGAGCAGCTTGTCCTTTCACCAGATACAATGCAGGCATGCTTAAACCTGTAGCTACACCAGTGCAGGACTTAAAGCCAAATGGTTCCTTTTTATTTCTGTTAAAATATAACACGGAGATGCTGCCATTGAGCAGGCTTCCATCTGCTTCTTAATAGTAAGACATTAGTGACATTTTCTGGAACATTTCCTCATTGAAACAGCTGGTCTATACAAAAAATACTTGTGTTATTTAAAAATAACACCATAATAGCAATATTGAGAGGCACTGACATCACAAGCAATAAAATGAGTGATTTCAGAGATAACGCAAGACTCGGGATCTCTTGATCTGCACGCTCTCCTTCCCCACTTTTGCAGAAGCAGCAAGTATCAAGGGAGTTTACACCATTGGAAAAGAGGAAAATAGCAGAGTCCTGGCGTTTGGTGTCTGAAAGGTCTTTTGAAGTCTGTTCACACTCTGAGTCTGTTGACTCCCCTGTTCTCCCTCCTGCCCAAAGAGGCATCACTCTGTGGCGGCTCGCTGTTTACGAAACAACACAGATACAGGGTTTTTTTTCCCCACACAGCCCAATTAAGAAATGTATTTTTTTCTCCATTAGAGATTCATGTTTAAATGAATTCTCCCTGTATGTTTTTTTAAGGGAATATGTAACAAAGACATCTTTTCAGCCAACGTTTGGTCTTCCAAAAACGTTCCAGAGCTTCTTTCATGTCCAAAAGTAGTAGCTTCCAAATGCAATACAGAGAAAATGTGCAACCTTGAGCAGCATACGGAAAAAATAAATCACTTAAAAACTGAAAAGGAAATAAAGTATTATTATGTTAAGACTCTTTATTTGAAAATATAATCCCTAACCAAAGAGATGCTGTTTTAGCAATCTCCATTGATTGCTAAGATTTAAAGAAAATTAAATCAATGAACTGATGAGTTAGGGGTAAACACCCACAAAGAAAAAAAAAAACCTAGCCTCCTCTGTAAGCAGTAACAGAATTTTTCTTATTTCTTCTTGTTCATTGACAAAACTGTATAATTCAGGAACTAATTAGGGGTTCAAAATAAAGGGAAAAAAATTGTTTTTTTAAATTCATAGCAGGAAATGAAGAAGAAACACAAGAGATTAGATCTACTATTTCTTAAGCACTTAAAAGAAACAGTAAACAGACAGTCCTAGAAAGAATAATACTTTAAAATACAGTGAATTTAAATTATTTATCAAAACATGTTTGTTTTCTTTTTAAACAGTAAGCTTTTAATGGGTCTTTAACTAACATACTTTGATTGTTTCTTCCCCCCCTCCCTGGAGAGGCCTTTTAAATAGATCTCAATTTCCATTTAAATAGAAGTAATCAATAATAAAATGTCAGTAGCACACAAAAATTTGTATTATTCTCCAAGAGAAACAAATCTTACACAGACATGTTAAACTATGTAATTAACTGTGCACAGATAACACCTTTCTTGTTATGAAAGTACAAGTAACAGTAAAAGCAGACAAGTAGACTTCTCTCAAATAAAAGTTTATTTAAACACTAACAAGCGAGATCTAACCTAAGGAATAATTAGGAAGAGAAATCCATAAAAATCAAGGTTTCTTGCTTGCTGATTTCAGTAATCGATACAAGCGTAACTTAAATGGCTTCTAGGCCTTTTGACTAAGATGAAGAGCAGTAGCTGTGGAAGGAATCCATTCTGGAGAGCGTGTTCAGCATGGTGTGACTCAATAATACCTTTCCTAAACACATTTGTTGAAAAGGTCCACTTCATGACCAGCTACTGCAGTAGGTGTGTAATAGAGGAGAACACAGGACACAGTTTCAGCTCTGCGTTAAATACACAGGTACCATAAATAAATACGGCGTTCCAAAGGCTCTGTGATGTCCTTAGGAGGCTAATTCAAAGTAAAAACTAATTCATTGCTTTACTATTTCTGTGGCTCACTTATAAAAAAGCACACACATGCACATACTTGAGGAAATCAATCTACATCCCATGCTGCATCATTTACAAAGCAATTAGTGCTCCTTTATGGGTCGCAGAACAGTACAACACACCACCTGATTTTACTGGGGAGATCAGAGACAAGGCCAGTCACAAACAGCGACCGAAGCTCCAGCGAGGAAACGATGCTCGCGCGAGAACCTCTACTGCCCTTGATACACAAAAAGTTTTCCAGAGCTTCGCTTGCTGCCTTCATAACAGACCCATGGAAATGACAAGGCACAATTAGCACAGGGAGACAGCTACCTCTGAACTCCCCCCTTTGAAACAGGAAACAGATTTTTCTACTCTAGGTCTTACCTTGAAACTAAAGTCTGAAATTGTACCAATTTAAATTAAATGAGACTTTCAATCCACTGGAAGTTGTTGCAAACCACAACACAGACACAACTTTGACATAAAAATGGCTTTAAAGCTCGACCATAAACAAACCCAACCAGCTTAACCTACACTGAAAGAAATCTGTCACAAGTTAGCATGCGTCTAGAACGAGTTTACTTTTCCTCCTTCAACAATCTCAGGCCAGTATTGTGAAACTGCCATGTTAGCAAACCTTTGTGTCACCAACACCGTAAAAGCTCTGGACACCAGTCCCCACTGGCAGAGGACATACCAGACCACTGCCGTGGGGTAAGCTGGAGCCCGTATGACACTGCAAAATGAGGAATCGTAAAATAAAGACTAACTACCACTCAAAAGCTGATTGCATCAGGCAACTGTTAAAATCACATTTCTATTTTCAACCCTACTGCAATCAAACATGGTCAAGCATCTAACTCTTGAGAAGAGTTGCCACACTTGCCGCACAAATTGTGTAAAATTGCATCAGGAAACACAGGTGCCTTCAACCACCCAGTGCTGATTAGCCCCAGTATTATTACATGATATGATTACGTTCTTCATAGTCAGTTCAAAGTATCATAAATTTCCTGAAAGTCCAGCTACAACGAACGCTTCATCAAAACATACTGTTTTCATTTCAGACCGTTTATGCTTGAAATGTTGACACTCCTCACCATGACAGCACAGCTACAAAGGGTTTGTCAAGCCTCCTTCACCATGTTAAATAATAACTGAACAGTATGCTAATTTACTTTCCTTCAGTGAACTTGTCTGCATTCCCTTCCGATTTCCTGTAGCTACAAATATGATAATCAGGAGAACAAAGACTTTAGCACAACCACTCAGGAACCAGTAAATGAAATGAAGTATGCCTGATTCCAGAAGAAGCAAAAAAAGACCTGCAGCCTAGCTTGTCCTGAGTACCCAAGCCCATGATGAGAAGATATTAAAAAGGAATAGTCAAAAATTGCACATCTGAGTAAAGTTTCTCCTTTTAACTTCACGGACAATACAACCACTTAGCAACACGACCGTTCTTAAACTAACCAACCTACCTTTAATTCCCACTTCCTCCCAAGCCTCTCTGGACAGCAGCTTCTGGCACTCCATCAGTCCCCTTTTATCCCAGTTTCTTTTTATAAATCCAAGGTCAGGTTTCCTCTCCCATCTCATGTGATGTGCTGGACTGAAGTTCTGCCAGCGTGGTCGGTCCACTCAACTGCCAAATCCCATCCCGTGCCACAACACTCCTTACCAGACTGTTCCACCACCCCATGATACACAATCTTTCATTCTGGGCATTTTCCTCATGTTTAGAGGAGAAAAATAAAGAAGGGGAAACACCAACTTTCCCAGCGATGCTTAACTGCACCTAGGAAAAAAAAAAAAAAAATC